TCCGGCAGCCGGGAAGCGTGCAAACGCCGTCAGTGGCACAAGGAGTCCTGGGAAGAGGGGACCGTGCCCTGGCGGCGCCAGACGAGCGAGGGTGCCCCGGGAAAGCTGCCTGGCTCGTCACCGTGGCCCTTTGCTGTGGGTCTAGCGCAGAGCGTGGCGGAGCCATGGACTCTAACCGCGCCCCTCCTCTTGCCCGCAGGGTTCCTGTGTTTCTTGCTGAGCGCCCTGGGGGTCACCGCGGGCGCCCATCGTCTCTGGAGCCATCGGTCCTACAAAGCCAGCCTGCCCCTGCGGGTCTTTCTGGCCTTCGCCAACTCCATGGCTTTCCAGGTAGGCACCTCCTCGCTGGCTGGCCTGGCCTGCGGGTCCCGACGTTGCCCACCCGTACCGTGGGAAGCGGGTTCGAGTCCCATTCCCGCCACTCGCCTCTGACCGCTGCACCCCCTGTGCTGCCTGAGCAGAGCACTGCCCCTGTCACGCGGCGGGGGGAGACCGAGTAGCCCTGGAATGGCCAAAACAAAACTCCCATCAACACGGGGCCTTCCAGCCACTGGGATTCGGGCACGCTGGGGTGTCCCTTGGCTTCCTCGGCCACCTGGTCTGTATGGCCCTGGCGCCAGAGCTTGCGGGGCTGCTGCCCATCCCTCCATGTCCCTTGCAGAACGACATCTACGAGTGGGCCCGGGATCACCGCGTCCACCACAAGTTCTCCGAGACCAATGCCGACCCCCACAACGCCACGCGCGGCTGGCTGCTGGTGCGCAAGCACCCCGACGTCCTGGAGAAGGGCAGCAAGCTGGAGCTGGCCGACCTGAAGGCCGACAAAGTGGTGATGTTCCAGAGGAGGTGAGCTGGGCATGGCTGGCGAAGGGGCGGGGGAATCTCTTGCCTGTCAGGGGCCACTGACCCCCAGAAATCAGTTGTGGGTGTGCACAGCTGCATGCCAGCTCGGGACTTCCCCGGGATGCCGTTGCCATGAACGGCAGCCTGCCTGTCTGTCTGGCAATGCTGTAGGGCCCAAAAGGAGGGGTTCAGGGTGCAGGAAGGGATGCCAGACTAGGGCAAAGGGTTGGGATGTAGGAGGGGTGAAGGCTCCGGTTGGGGGTACAGGCTCTGGGGTGGGGCTTGGGATGAGGGTATTGGGGTAGGGGTGCAGGGTTTGGGTGTGGGAAGGGGCTCGGGTGGGGCAGAGGTCTAGGAGGGAGTTAGGGCTGCAGCAGGGGGTTTGGGGCACTTACCTCTGGCAGGTCCCAGATTCAAAAGCAGCCAACATGTTCCTGGGATGGGTATAGGGGGCAGGAGGCTTCATGCACTGCCCTCACCTGCAGACCCCAGCCAATGGGAGCTGTAGGGGTGGCCCCTTCAGGCAAAGGTGGCAGTTTCAAAAACCAGCTGAAGATAATTCTTTGCTTCCCATCCCTTTAATAGTTTCTCCAAAGCAAGAATCCTTTGTTCAATCCTCCCCATCCCTCTGGAAAAATACCCAATTCAAGATGGATTCCAGGACCAGGTGGCCTGGCCACATGTCTTCCTAGGACCAACCACAGCTTGGGCTCACAGGGCAGACCAAACCATTCACAGATTGCTGTCTTGAGCTCTGGGTCATTAAGTTCCCTAAGTACTGCTAATGGCTTTCATGAGAAATTCTAAATGAATAAGCAGTTTCTACTCCATATTTCTAACTTCCTAGGCAAGAATGATACAAGTGGAATATACACATACAGGGGATCACAGGCTCTTGAATGGGCTTACCTGCCCCACTTTGCATAAAGCCTATTCAAGTTATGCATATTCATATCCAAAACCATTTTCCCTAACCGTCTAGGGGCAAAGCATCCCAGAGCACCTCTCCCTGGAAACACCGCCCTGGTAGAGGACCTGACCTGCCCTTCCCCTCCATGCACCCCATGGGATGTGCCTGCCACTAACGCTCCCCCATCCGCTCTTTCCTGGCAGGTTTTACAAGCCTTCCGTGGTGGTTATGTGCTTCCTGCTGCCCACCCTGGTGCCCTGGTGCTGCTGGGGGGAGTCTCTGTGCAACAGCTTCTTCCTCCCCGCCATCCTGCGCTACGTGCTGGTGCTGAACGCCTCCTGGCTGGTGAACAGCGCCGCGCACATGTTCGGCAACCGGCCCTACGACCGGACCATCAACCCCCGGGAGAACCGCTTGGTCACGCTGGGGGCCTTAGGTAGGTTGGCGGTGCTGCTAATCCCAGCCTGCCCGCTGATGGACTGGGCGTGAGGCAGGCTGAGGTCACTGCAATGCGGCTGCGTCTGGGGAGGAGCCGGGGAGAGCAGGGAGGATGGCACATCCCCATACGCGGGCGGCTGTAGGGGCACTACGCACGCTGCCAGCCTCCGACCTTGTGTGCCATAGCTCTGTGCCCCTCGGCGTCCTGCTCGCTCTCAGCGGCTGGGCCGCCGG